AAATCAGTCATTGGAAAATTGCTGATCGAATCAGCTAATAAATAGACTGGTGGATAAATGAATGAATTAATAAACTAATGAATTAATGGAAGGTTGTACAAATGAATGAATCAGTCAATCACTGTATTATTGAATGAACGAGAGTACCTTATTTACATCCTTTTGCTGTCCACGCACGCGACTGAAATGTAAGACCTCAGCCAGTATGAATTTAACTTGTCTTGGCCAAGAACTGTGCATAAAATAATACGATCTTTTCCCCAACGGCAAGCGTTTTTTACTGTATACCTGAATCCCTTATTTTCCGAAAATCACGGCTACTTCGATATGTTCAGCATTCGTTAACTTTTTCAGTGATGAAGGCATTAACAGCATCAGTTTTTCCCTGCGACCACTTGTTACCGGAGTCCGAATCCTGAGCCGGATCTTTTTTTCAGAAAGCATAGTATCTTAAAGTCTAGGATTTTTCTTTCCGTAGCCAGATAAATTTTCAATCCATATCAAAATAGAATCTGCTAATTCCTTCAGTACCATCTACTCCTAATTACGAAGAACGTAGAAAAAATTCCTAATAAAGCTGAGTCTTCCGCAAACAAGTTACGGGCGTTTCACTCATTTTTTTACTCGCCATTAGCCTTAATGAATCGGTGCCACAATGTGACCATTAAACAGGAGACCAGACTATGTCTTTAAAATAAGGCATTCATAGCTAATGGCATAGAAACGGGCTCGCCGTACCACCAGTTTCATTAAAATAAGAAAGGATGTCAGTATAGCCCCATCATAGTAGTGTACAACAGACTGACATTTCAAGGTTGCAGGCATCCCTTTTGGTGGTCCGGAAGAGTGACATCCGGAAGAATTGAGGAGAAGTAACATTAACTTCCATGCACAGAAATCGAGTCATCGTCTCTAATCCAACCTCTTCATATCAGGCCAGTTCCTCATCGTTTCGAATCAGACTCTGAGACACGCTTTAGTTGCACTGTTCGCATCGATCAACTCTAAAACGGACACCTGCCGAAAACGAGTAAACAAGCTAACATATCGAAATTATTCGTCACCTTAAAGATTGACTGGTGATAACACCTTCACAGCTTAATATAAGCTGGAACGTTTCGCGTTCAGCGCTTTTCGAGGTCATTAGAGTTCCTATAAATTGAGTCCATCACCTTCGATGATCCCGTATCATTTTTGGTCGTGGAGACAGACACCTCAGACAATGTCTCCAACGCTCCAACGTTCACGATCCTGCGCCAACGTTTGAGTTTCCCTCAGAAGATAACTCGAGTTTTGTGCAGAGTCTTTCAATGCATTTGCCTCAGGTCATTCTTCCCCGACTAGAGGTCTTTAGTCGGTCCGTTTGAAGAGTGGTAATTGTTTTGTGTTTCTTTCTGAAAACATTCGCCAGACATGGCAGAACCACAACAGTTGTGATTGCTCAATGAACAAGCAGCGGTTGCATTCATCAAGGTTTGCCTGTGTGTCATTACTTAGGATCATATTGAGACGAACAAAGCCACCGATGTGTCTCAGAAGGTCCATTTCAGCAGCTTGTATCCGGGATCGAAGTTATGGCTTGCGACGCATGACCAGAAATGGGCATGAAAATAGAGATCGACAGGAACACAGAGAGCTGCTTCCTCACACTCAGCTCTGCTTTGGTTACAACGGATCTGGCTTGCTCACGTGCTACTCCAGTCCGCCGATCGATCTCTTCCTCAAATTTTCCATCACTAGTAAATACAGTTACGAGGTACTTCAACTTCTCCACCTGCTC